CTCGATCTTTTGTGGAGGCCAAGTATAAATCTATGATCACTACTACATGTGAGTTAAAAAGGTTGAAATCCCTTTTGGCTTGTTTTGGGATATAACATGTGCATCCCATACAATTTTTTTGTGACAGTTAAGTTGCTCTCCATATAGCGGCTAATCTGATTTTCCATGAAAGAATGAAACATGTCGAAATGGATTGTCATTTTATTCGTGATGCATTGTAAGATGGAGCAATTTTTACGTCTCGTATTCGGACTGATGCACAACTTACAGATATTTTGACCAAAGCTCTCGGTAAATCACAATTTTATTTACTTCTTTCCAAGTTGGGCATTTGCAATCTCCATGCTCCAACTCGAGGATGAATATTAGTGGAATATCATGGTAGTTGATGGAATATATCTTTGTAATTACTCTATGAATATTTTATAAATTACAATATATCAAGATGAGATATCTCCTTGATATGCTTTCATATATTAATTTTATTTGTTTCCCAAATTAGCTCCACTATTTATAAAAATACTAGAAAAACTTTGTATATATTCATGATAATAGCCAAATTCAATAACAGATAATTATTCCACAAAACTCTATAATGAATGGTATTTTAGAAAACTTAAAAAGAAAAACATTAAAACATTAACCTAATTAAACAGATTTTCCCCAAAAGAAGAAAAATCAACAAAACACAGTTTTTATCCATATAACGTTTTCTGATATTGTTTGAAATTTTGGTGACCTGGATTACCTAAAATTTATTTGTTTTCCTCTTACAGTGTAGTAGCCTCATGTGGTTTCTCTGATTCTAAAGTTTTCATAATGAATATGATAGTGCATGCGAGAATATGTACGACGCATAAGCTGAAAAAATATAAATAAATAATTTCAGAACTATTCAGCGGCAGAATCGATTGTAAAGTGGAAAGGGGAAACCATTTTTTTTAACTATCATATTCACTATTATAAGTAGTAATTAATTTTTAATTATAAACACAAAAAGTAAATATTTCCTCTTAACATTAAACATAACGATTAAATAACACAAATGGTTAACCACGTTACAATATTCATAGCTACATTTACTTTGATCAAACATAAAATGAATATATGTAAACTAATGAGACCGATAATGCAAATAATAATGACTTCAAATTTTGTACAGTAAAATAGTGTGATTTATCTTTTAAATTGAGTTTATCTTTTAATGAAAGTTAAAGTTGACTAGTGAATATCGAGAATGTACAACTAAAAAACAATAAAAATATATAAAATTATTAAGCTTAAGTAAAAAAGTATTCAAACCTTGTAAACTTCATGACCTTAATAAATAAAAATAAATCAGGCATCCAACATGAACTTATGACCTATTTTACTTCAAGTTTAGGCTTATTTTTTTTATTATTATTTTTAAATAGGTTAGACAACTCAAAATTTTTATTAAAAAATATTTAATTTTAAAAGTTAGACTTTAAACTATTTAAAAGTTTTTTTAAACCTATTCAAATAATATAAATGAATGCTTATTATTATTATATCAAATTTGTTATAATATATTAAATCATGTATTATTTGTTCTTTTTAAATAGTTACTTATATGAAAAGTGTAACTTATAGGTTTATTAGAAGATAAATATATTTTCTATTTAAAATTATTTATTATTACAAAATATATTTTTAAACAATTATCATCATAAGAGTCATAATAGACATTAAGAATATACTTTTTTTTTTGCAAAATAAAAAATACTAATATAAAAGATAAAAGGCCAAAATAAATATTTAAATAAATAAAGGAATAAAAGGAATTTAATAAATACGATAAATAAACAAAATTATAATTTAACCAATATTAAATAAATAAATTAATTTTAATCTTATAAAACCAACTATTTCTATCTAAATTATATCTTGGCATTAAATTATTTCAAAATAAATCCTTAAACAAACTTGTATGCCAAATCAAGCTTTTATCCATATTAGACATAAAAAAAAAAACTTATAGCTAGTAAATAAGCCAACTCAAATGATGTATTTTCAGAAAGGTCAAGTCTACGACTTAAAAAAAAAAATCTAATTTAACTTGGCTAATTTTTACCAAATAAATGAAAAACCTAAACTTTAATTTTACTTATACCGATTGTTCCTTAAACTATATTTCATTAGTAAATATATTTAAATTGATTTTGTTCTAATTGATCTTTAAACTTTACTATTTTTTTTATAAATAAACATGTTCAACATCAATTTAATTCAAATTGATTTTTAAATTTTATAAATTTTAGAAATATTTTTTTTATCAACTTAGAGTTAAATTGCATATCGTAAATGTTAATAATTATTTATTAATGTTTTCTTATTTTGTTATAGTTATTTTCAAATATAATAAAATAAATTTAGAAAAATAAAAATAACAAAAATATGTTCACATGTAATTGTATACTCCTCTCGTTTATTAAGTTCAGTTGTGTAAACCTTATCTAAAACTTTAACCCCATAATCGATTATGCATGGTGCATAATCGATTACGTTAACATATTTTTACTTCAATTTTTCACCTTTTTTCAGTTTTTGGACAGGGTATTATCATATTTTCTCAAATCTTACGTAGCTTTCATCTCGTTTCTTGCAAAAATGCGAGGATGGCATCTCGGCTTCTCCCCCTTTTCTTCGCCCTTCTTTCTTTGCAAATCACCGGAAACAAACACTCACTTTCTTCGCCTTTCGTTACTCGTAAACAATAAATCACTGGAAACAAACACTACCTTAAAACCAGTGGATTTTGAAGATGATATGGAATTTTTTTGAGACAAGAGAATAGCACACCACAATCACACGTAAAACAGTAAAAGACAGTGAACGTAAAGATCACAATTTTGAAAAGGAAACACTCTAAAAGCTTGAAAAGGGGTGAGAGAAAAAAAATAAATAAATAAAAACTTATTTCTAGAATTATTTTGCATCTCTTTTTATATTTATTTTTTTTATTATCTCAAAATACCTTTGTAGCGAATTTAATGGAAATTAGGTTTTTAAAAGTGTATTTAAATAATAAAAAATAGGGGGTGCGACGAGCAAAACGAGAGGGCGCAAATAACATCTTGATGCTATCAATATTGCCCTTAGGCCCAAGAGAAACGGGCCTCTATTGTTTAAGTCAAATTTCCTCCGATCATCAGCCCTACATTCATGATCTTTTAATTTTTCCTTTTTTATTTTTTATTTTATTTTTGTAAGTACTAGAAAATAAAGTAAAGGATACTAAACTTTCCTTTCCTCTCCAATTGTAGGTAATCCACGTCCCTCAACATGTTTTGGGCTACGCAAAATCACATTTCACGCTCCAATATTCATTATAATTTTCAAACCTAAGTTTTAACAAAATTGAATATTCGATGCCGGTAGTAATTTTAGCGTCCCTTATTTCTGTATAATTTCTGTAAAATGGGGATTGAAGGGAAGGGGTTTACACATCCTTTGGTTTATAGATTTGTATCACCATAATGAAAAACTTTCAGTCTGCACCGTCTAAAGCATCACAAGGGTCAAACTTTAAGAGAAATTTTGATTCATCACTAAAAAAAATAATAAAAAAGAAGCATAAAAGGCATTAGCTTAGGAGTGGTTTTTAGAGATGATATTAGTGGGAATGCTATTGCATCTGCAACAAGATGGATCCCTTACTGTCGTGAATCAAAAACTGCAGAAGCTTTAACCTTCAGACGGAGCCTGAAACATGTTGTCTCAATGTTGACTTAGATTAAACACACCTGCAAACAATTTCAAGTATATTTTGGGGATATTTTAAAACATTTACGAGTTTAGTGCAAATAAATGAATATTTCTTTTTATCACATGTTAACCAAGATTATAATTAACCAGCATATAAAAAAGACCTAATCACAATAGTAAAAAAATATATATATATATTTGTTTTTGCCAATTCTTCTTAGTAAGTTATTTTATTAGAAGAAAACATGTTGAGTGTTGAAACAAGTCATGTGTTTCAATGTAAAATTTCTAACAGATTATTTAAGATATACGTATCACAATAATATAAAATTATTTTGATTAAAATTATTCTTATCTAGTTTTAAAATAAAAGAACATTAAATTTAAGTAAAAGATTCTAAATTATTTTTTAAACATTTTCAAGATGAAAATAATAATTTATTTATTTTATAAAAAATGTCAATACCAAATATTTGAAGACTTTTATTTTGTTATTGAGGGGGAACAAGAAGCCACAGTAAAAACTAAAGGGAAATGTCAAATCACCATATCTTGATTAGTGATGAAGAAAAACTAAAAATCTTTGATCAAATCAAATTGTGTTCTAATCAGGTAAAATAATTTATTATATTTTAGGATGGATGAATTCATTAAATTTTTTAAAGGTACCATCATAGATAAAACTTGGAGATAAGTGACATAAATGCATATAATTAGATAATACTTTAGTAGTTTTCTTGAAGATAAATTTTGTCAACTACATAACTAACATTAAAAAATAAGTTATTAGAACTTTTTTTACCACTTTGGTTTGAAGTTAATTGTGGATTAAATCAAGTAGTTAATTTGATGTCAATGATCAATTTTCTATCCATTGCAGAGTATACATATCTTGCTATTAGCTAAAGGCTAAAGCACAACTTTCTAACTTTTATCATATCATGTATATGTTGCATATTCAAACTCATTGAATAAATAATATCCGTGCATTTCACAGGTCATGTAACTAGTAATTCACTTTTTTTAATATATATTTTAAAATATAAATAATTTTCAAATAAACAAGATTTATCTACAAAATGGACTTCAAATAAAATTATATATGCAGAAACTAATGATTCTCGACATACATGATTCTCTCTCTTTTCTACTTGCGATTTTTTGGCCGTGAATTCCTTTTATCATTTTGAAAACAGAAAACTACCACCACCTGGTTATCACCAACTTAATTTACAGTATGAGAGGGAGGGGAGGGGGGCAAGGCAGAGAAATCAACAAATGGATAAAATAATAACACGTACATCAGTTTTCAATTATGCAAAGCCCTAAACAAGAAGCTATTCAACCAAAAATCAATTCACCATGCACTATAACAAGAAGCTATTATGCTTTGCAGTTTACACTCCATTCTTCCATACAGAGTTATTGATAATTCAGTGAGACTGAGAACCTATTACGAAAATGCCTGATTTATCTCTGCGCATCTTCACGTTAAGTGGAACTTCCTTGTAGGACACAATCTTCTCAACTGTCCGACGCAATGGCCGCCCAACAGATGATCTACGAGTTTCCTGAGGCTCAATTGTACAGCAATTGTTTTCTTGTCCACACGTTACACTTGATGTTGTTGGACAAATTTCTTCTGACATATTATCAGATAATTGTGATACACTAAATTTTGCATCATCTGTCTCAAATAAGTCTTCAGTGGCTTCTGGTTTCTCTGGCCTGAACCGGTTACTTTGTCTTCTCATACTATGCCTGTGGATAAATTACTCACAATGAGTCATATAATTGTTTACAAGTAGGCAGGTATTCAGAAAGTGGAAGTATATGCTTACCTCTTTTTTTCAATATTCTTTTTGGCATGAGCTTGTCCAGTGTTAGTAGGTCCCGAAGCTGCATGCAAACAATATGCATAAGGCTTTCATATAGCAAGAGAAAGTAACAAAATGGGATAAGTTGTGTACAGTCACATTCAGTAGCTTCTCTGGCTTCGTCATGGACCTTCAACCCCAATGACGTTGGTCCAGTTTCCTTCGCAAAATTTTCTTGTAGTTGCAAAATCTCGTCTTTGACTTCAACTACTTCCGATAAATCTTTTGTTGGTTCTGGTTTTTCAGCTTTCAACCCCGCAGATTGCCTTCTTAAACTATACCTGTATGCATATTCAAGGGAGACATATGAGCTGACTTGTTCCTAAGTAGTGCAGAGTCATATTATAGAATTCAAGAATTAGTCCAATATAGCAAGCAAACTCAATCATACCTCTTATCGTCGACCTTTTCTGTGGATTTGACTTGTTTAACGACAGCAGGTGCAGAAGCTGCATGAGAGAAAGACCACTTTAAAGGTAATCTACATTGAATTTACATGCACTCACACACCAACACACAAAGCGAGTCCACTAAACTAATTACATCGGCTTTTGGACATTCTCTTCCTTTTTTCATTCCCCCTGTTATCTTCTTGCAACGATCGATCAGATTGCTTACTCTGACATACTCCCACCTAACAGTAGTTAAGAAAAAGGCAACTTGTTGCAGATCTATTAAGATGGGAGTAAAGACCAACCAGTAGAAGAAGTAAAATTCATATAGTACCTCGTTTGCATCAGTTTCGTGCTTCGATTTCACTGTGTGCTCTTTTGCCTGGGAAAGAAAATTGTTACAGTCAGAAAAGCAAAATTAAGCCTTTCCCACTACTTGGAATTTATCAGCTTTGAAATGAGTTAAACTGACCGTCAATTCTAATCTCATAGCATGAAGTACACCATTTTTGCTTCCTAGTTCAAGCTGAAGTTCCCTTAGCTGGACGGCAACAAATTCAATGTCACTCAATCCATCATCACCATCATAATAATAATAATAATGGAAATAATAAGTGACACAAGCACCAACAATTTTCATTTCGAGACTCACCTTCTGTCTACTTGAATTAAGCTCCTGCATTGCATAGACAGATGAAAGCAATACACATCAGCAATTGTATATTAGAATTTCAACAAGAGTGAAAACCTTGATTGTTAAAACATTTGATCCTTACCGCCAACATTTGACTATTTGTCAGGGCAAGTTCCCCATTTTGCTTCCTTAGTTTCTGATAATTGCTTTGACACTTCAGCAGCTCAGCTTTACACGATTCAATTATGGCACTGTCCACACAAGTTGAGAAAACCCCAGTAAATGAAAAGTCTCACCACCATAATTACACTGACCACAGACAGAAGACAGAAAACTAGACCAAATCCAGAAAAAAAGAATGAATTACTCTCTATTAGCAAGAACCTTCACCAACATTTCCTTTTCCTGGGAAACACATTCAAATGTGAAACCAATGAGAGAAACAAACAAAAAATGAATCATGAAAAGTATATATACATACATATATAAAGATGCATACCCTGAGAAGCTGCTCAGTAGAGATGTGTTGCTTCGGTTGCTGGTCCAAGTTGGTTATGTTAGCAAGAATTTTGTTCGGGGAAGTTCCAACTCCCACTCTCACTCCCATAGAAACAGAATCTCCCTTCACCCCTCTCACTTTCTTTGCTTTTGAACCTGAAACTCATAAAGCAACATTTCAGATCCCAAAAAAACCCAGATTTGCGCGTTTGGACTTTGGAGCTTCAACGAATCCACTGGATGGGTAAACCTAAGAGCTATGCAATACCCTATTAGATGTTTAAATATTAACTTTTTTCAAAACAACGAGTGAATTGAGTGTAGTGACCGCAAGTGGAATCAATTGGGTCGAGAAAACCCTATTCGAATGGGAAATATAATGGTGAAAAATAATTAAAAATGGAGAGAGAGAATTTTGAAAGATGGGAATGAGAAAACCCTAAGTGAGCGAAAGAATGAATAAAGATGAATGAATACCTCCAATAACAGCCTGTGAATCCGAGTCGAGGAAGATGGCACCACCACCCTCCATTTCCACAACTCTCTCTCTCTCTCTCTCTCTCTCAAAGAGTCAAGATTGTAGCAGCGAACGGCTTTCCGAACCTAACACCGAACCTCAATTTTGAATCTTTATAGGCGAACCTGTTTTATTATCTCTATCTATTGGGATTTGGGATTTATAATTTATTATTAAAATGTTATTATCTGTACTGTACACTAAAATTTAAAATCTAGATTTTTGTTTTTCATTTTCTTTAATTGTTTTTTATGTGATTTTTTTTATTTATATATTTGTCTTCTTTTCATATTTTTTAATCTTTCAGATTATTTTTTCTTAAATGAAAATTTAAGTGTTTGCATTTTAATAAATGTTTTTATAAATAAAAAAAAACATGCACCACCAAAATATCTTAAAATTATTGTCGGCTCGTGGCCTTCTAATTTATGTTTATATTTTTTTTTTAAGTTTAGTCTAACAAGTATAAATGATAATAAAATTTAATAAGTTTTTTTAGTTATTTAAAAAAATAATGAAATATGCAATGAGAATATTCAATTTTAAATATACAACATATTTTATAATACTATGATAATAAGCATATTATATCTCAATTTTTTTATTTTGTTTATTTTCTTGTATCTATAATAATATATTAAAGTTGTTAATCATTTTTTAGTACATATATTTTAAATTATTTTTATCCTTTATTTATTATAGTAACTATATAATTCTTTTTTTTAGTGGAGGGTAGTTTAATAAATTTATTTTATCAATTTAAATAAAAATTATTGTTTTTAAAAAACAAATTGTATCCTAATTGTTGTAACTTTCACATCCCAAGACACAAAATGTTTTTTTTTTAGTGTATTATAGTGGGTTATATTGATAATAAAGTTCTTAAGATAATACTAACATTCCTTAAAAAAAAAAAATAAAAAAAATAATACTAACATCAATTTGGGGGAAAATTCTAAAAAGTTATATTGATTTTAAAACTCTTAAAATTGTGTTACTTGACTAAAGTAACATCGATTTAGAGAATAACTTTTATGATAGTTATTTTAATCTATTTTAATTTTTTATGTAAAGTCAATCTTTGTCTTTATGAAAAAAAATTGGTCTCTTAAAAAATATGCACAATAACTATATCTAGTTTAAACTTAATTAACAGGTTTGGTTCTATAAAAACATATTAAGAAAAGTTATACTTAATAATATTTGATATTCTCTTGTAACTTAATTGTTATAACTATTTTTATTTTTATTGTCATGTAACCTCTACATAAAAGGACTAATTTGTCATGATACATATTTATTTCTTATTATTAAACATTTCCCACTTAAACATTGACTTAAGGTGTTTGTAATCACCAAATATTTGTCTTTGTAAGTTTCTTTTCCTTACCTCAGAATAATTGCTTTTTTGTTGCACCAAAACCTTTATATTTAGCACAAGACAAATCAAATTTACCATAAACCTTTATGATATTTGTACAACATTATTTTCTTAATATTTATTAATGATACAAAAGGATGAAAAGAAAATTGTAAATATTATTGGATGAGTTATATGTGTATCGTTACTACATATTATATGGTTCCTATTAGTTATAATGATTTATAATTGTTTAATAGTTAAAAGTGTTTTTTTAATTGTCTGTATTAGAGAATTACTGTATCTACCGTGAGCTTGGGCTTCATGTTTGAACAATTTGGATTAAGTGCATGTTTGTTTTACATTTAAAATAGCTAAACTTACGTTGAACTCAATCCATCTACACTCATACTTTTTTCTGTTTGAGTGCATTGGAATGTGTGTAAATAAGTAATCAAACACACCCTAAAACTATGATAAGCTAAATGGATAAATTTCATTTTCATTGAGAGTGCAAAATTATGTCATATAATCCCTAGGTTAAAAGGAAAATGTACCTAGTTCAATATTTTTTTTTTAACAAAATATAAAATAAGTATGAATGATTCCTAAAATTGGATTTCATATTCAATTAATAAATTTATTTAAGAACTAAACAATCATTTGATATATTAAGATTATTTAAGAAGTTGAGATTTTTTAATAAATGTTTTTCATGCAGAAACAACTTATCACATTCTTAAAAGATAAGTTACTTTCAACGATTTCACCACTATTCCTAAAATTACAATATTGTAAAGTAGTTGTAAATTGGATGTGGGCACAGTCCACAGAGGGTCATGGGATAATTGAAGTATGCCAAAAGAGGAAGAGGAAATTCAAAATTGGGCCATATGTTGGACGAGATAGCCCAACGGACTCCCGTTGTTGGGTCCAGACTAGATGAAAGGCCTAGAACAAGTAGCAAATAATGGGCTTAGTCTATATTAGCATCCATGAGGGAAGAGGAAGGATTTGCGTTAGTAGAAAGGTTTAAAATGACAATGCTAGTAGGCTTTATATGAGTTACTATACTACATACTTAATAATATTTCATTTTTTTAAATATTATATTTTTTCAATACATCCCCTAATATATCTCATTCTTTTATATTTTATTATATTTATCTCGCTTTCAATTTAATATAGTTGAATCTCAATTGCTACATAATAAATAAATAAATAAATATAATACATTTTTTAAATAAATAAATAACTTTAAAATTTACAAAATGCATAAAAACAATGTATATAAAAAAAATAGATTTAATAACCTTTATTATGTCTACAATTTCATAAACTTTACTTTTTAATTCTTTATAATATTTTTTTATTTTTGTCTTTCATATATTATTTTATTTTATTTTAATCCTTATATTTACTTAAACATTTTCTTTCAGTTCTTATAATTACATAAATTTTATCTTTCTATCCCTATAAAAATAGATATTGGGAACTAAAAGGGATCAAAAATGACATGTATAGAAACTAAAGTGAAATATTTTTAATTATAAAAATAAAAGGTAAAGTTTATGAAATTATAGAAATAAAAAATAATTAAACTAAACAAGTAATATATATATATATATATATAAGAGAAGAGAGAAATAAATAAATAAAAATAAATAAGAAAGTGAGGTCTATCATCTTTTAATTTCTTATCCCCTTATTTCTTCTCAACCAAACAATCTCACTTATTTACATTTTGTCCACCATATTTCTTACACATTTTTCTCTAACGAAACAAAGTAGTAGTCTTACCTTAATCTATTTTTTATTTTATTTTTAAATATTACTGCTATATACTCATATGACCCACTTTAAAGAAAAAGAAACGATTATTATGAAAAGCAACTAAATAACAAAATGAGTGTCAGAACTTTTCTTCAATAATAGAAAATTACACATGAGTTACTATATATATATATATATCTATTATTCACGTATCAAGAGAAACTCCCATTGGAGTTGTCTAGATCGGCAAAGACGAAGGTGTAAGTAAGCGAATTACTTTTACTTTTAGAATTGTACAACGTTTTGAAAACAAATTCCAATCCATTTTTTTCACAAGTCCGTTCTACAACAATAATTGTCAATGAAACATTTTCAAGATGGTAAAGTTTGGCATCTCAAAACCCAAATTTGGAAAGAAAAATTCCATATATAATGTGTATTATATGGTGGAAAACATGTAGTAGCAAGGAAAATAATTAGGATATTTGAAATGATGTGTTGTCCATTCTTTATCGAAGAGAATTATTCTCTTCACAATAGAGTCAAGTCAAAGTCAAGTCTAAATTCCATTCTTGATATGATAAATGCATGTCTTTTGATAGGAATATTAATAGATCAAACCTTAGGCTATAGCCTCCATGACATGACCACTGCCCTCAGAGAACATGCACGCGCCAAATGAATTAACTAAAACTCGTATTCAAAGGGTTCATCACACACTTAATTTGCTATTTCTGGTTTAAAGAGCAAAGGGTCTCATATACAGAATCAAAATAAATCATATACAGACCAAGTGTGTTGCTGCTTTCTTTCAAATCACCACTTCATTTTTTAAATTTACAAACATCAGTGAATCTTAAGAGGATGGTCCACTTGAATCTAAGAATCTCAAGTGATGGATGTTTGTTTACTTGTTCTTTTTTAATTGTCAATATTATTTCTTCACTTTATGTATCTTGTTTTCCTTGTTTTGTGTATACATTTGGTTTCATTGTTGCTATTCTTATATGTCAGGGGATGTTTATCTTGTTTTTTTTTCTTTCTCTAAATTTGATTTCATAGCTTATATAGTGTTTTACTTCGTGCAAAGAAAATATCTCAAAGCCAGTTTTATGATCCTTCGTGTCTCCTCGCTTGTTCTCCATGTGCATCAAATTTAGGTTTTTCATCGTAAATAGTTAAATATACATAAAGAAAAATACATTTGGTTTAGAGGGTAACACTATTAAGGGTCTTTTTATTTAAGATATACACCTAAACGTGAATTTCTATTATACATACAACAAAATTTCTAAATTCCCCACAAACAAATATTCTCCCACATGCAGAATTAATTTTGCTATTTTTTACTCATAATAAAATAATGATGCTCCCTTTAAAGCATATAAGCCAAAGCCCAATAATTGATTCTAGGCTTGGCAAAGCTGAAAGTGTTTTGGACTCAAGCCACTCTCATCATTTATAAATAATAATTCAATCCAACTTAGCCTTTTGGTGCGATGGGCTTAAGCTTCTCTCTTTCCATTTTTTTTTTCTTCCAAATTTTCTTGACCTATTTTTTTTCTTGATACATGATATTGACAGGAGTATTTAACGACTCCTTTAAAAATTATTTCCTTTAGGATCTTGATTGCATTATGCTTATTTCACTTTTAAATTTTTTTTTTTATCAAAAGTAAGATTCGAACTCAAGATATTATAATTTAAAATTAGATAAATGAATGTTAATTTTTTATATCTTAGATTAGTGTAAAATGGGCTTAATTTCAAATTATGAAGGCTTAATTTGTTGATTTTTTTTAAGTAAATTAGTTTAAGCATGTACTTAACTGAAACTTTTCATTCGAACCAAGCCATAGAGTACTTGATTCAAGCGTAGTGGATTGTGGAATTTGAATGACTAAAAAAAGCCTTGGAGGAGTTGCTGGTATAATCACAATCACAAACATATAGGGTTGGGGTAACATTTCTTG